TTAGTCTCTTTTTGTTCTCAATTTTCTTTGGTTCTCTGTCTAATAGTGTTGCAATCAAGCCCGTCACGGAAGCGAGGGGAGATCGGCTAGTATGCGATGGTGAAGTCAACGTGACGAAGAATGAGCGCGCCGACGCCCTATCGCGACTTGGGGTTAACTTGGGGTGTTGATTGCGGTCACTCCATCGTTTTCCAGGTAGTTTGTGCGCTGTTGTGAGGTGTGGATGTGGGTTTATTCTTTATTTTGAGTGGCTACGTAGGATCGGCTGGGTTGAATTCTTGCTGTCCCTTGAGGCAGTCTTATTGATGTGCAGAATGTGCTTGGCGATGGTGTCGGGCGCCATAAATGAGATGGCCGTCAGGATCGTCAGGGGGGGGGGGGGGGCATTGATCGTTGTTGAGCTGAGCGGCTCCCGAACGGCAGTTGAGCAACCAAGGGAGGCGCGACTCGCCGAACGGGTGATTGGTTGTGAGGCGCAGTTGAAATGGGCCGAAACGGTGTGTTTTTGCCGTTTGAGGACCATTCCAGTTTGAGTGTTGGGCGCCGTTTGGCCTCCGTTTGTTGTCGCTGTCGTTCTCGACGGCACACCCGTCTTGTACCTCTCCTGCTCTCGACGTCATGTCGTCCAAGGCCAAGCACCTGAACGTCTCCCCTCGTGAGCTGCGGTTCGAGGTCACGTCGACTCGGCCGTCGACGCAGACACTGACTCTGAAGAACATTCACAGCGAGGATGTGGTGTTCAAGATCAAGACAACAGCACCCAAGGTACGTACACCCGTTGTGGCAGCTTGGCCATCGCCTCCCTCGACTATCCATTCCTCGAGTCATCCTTCGACCAGCTCGAGAGTGGCCGGGGCGGGGGGGCCACAAGCGTCGGCTTCCGAGCCTAGGTGGGCGGCAAGGCAGGGCTTGGACGCAGCGCGACGAGGCTAGCGCCACACATAGCCGAGGTGTGCAGGGTTAGGCTCGGTTGCAGCGGCGGAGAAGCACCCGTGGCGACAGCAGCGACCGGTGGCGAGAGCGTCGGCGGCCAAAGGGGAGGGAAAAAAATTGGCCGCTGGCCAGAGGCGACGGGTGGCGGATACGATACGACTCACACAAAGAGGGTGCAAATGCTGTGGATACAATGATGACGTGCGTGCGTGTGTGTGTGTGTGTGTGTGTGTGTGGTGTGTGTGTGTGGGTGCGAGGATAGCGGTACTGTGTGCGGCCCAACTCGGGCACCATCGCCCAGGGCTCGACGGTCTCCGTGGAGGTCACCCTCCAGCCTGACAAGTCGAGCAACGACAAGGTGAACGTGGACAAGTTCCTCATCCAGTCTGTGCCGATCGAGGCCGGGATGGACGTGTCGGATGTGTCCAAGGTCATTTCGGCCAACAAGAGCAAGGTCGGCGAGCTCAAGCTCAAGTCGCACTTCTCGTTCATCACGTCGTCGATTGCGGAGCGGTCGAAGAAGGTCTCGCGGTCGGGCGGAGCGTCTGACGGGACAGCAAATGCCCTCCAAAAAGAGCGCAACGAGTATCGCGAGCAGCTCACCCGACTCAACTTTGAGCTGCAGAAGACAAAGGCCGAGCTGGAGAATGTGCGGTCGTCTGGCGGCTCGGAGCTCCGCAACCGGTTCAACTCGAAGACTGCGACGGCCGACAACGTGGCCACGGTCTCGTCGTCCAAGACTAGCAAGGCATCGGGCCACTCGACGCTCTTCCTGCTCCTTGCCGCCACCGTTGCCTTTGCCATGGGCTTCTACACCCACATGCACCTCTTCCCCGAGGTCGATGCCCAATAACCACTACAAGGCGTGTTCCGCTGGAAGCGGCCTTTGTGCCGGCCGTGACAGTCACTTGAATTGTGAGGGAGTGGTGGTGAGAGGAAAGCCACAGGCTTATTAGCCGTGGCGAGAGAGAGCGAGAGAGAGAGAGCGAGAGAGAGAGCGAGTGCCATGGCGAGAGCGGGATTGCACGACACATGTGCGTGTTGCGGCGCGGGAGACTAGAACGTGACGGGCGTTAGACACACTTGACGCAAACATCTAGACATGCTTGTCCGTGTTGCTCTCCTCGCGTTGCTGGTTGCTGCCACGGGTATGTTGTGGTGCTTGGTAGTTTGTGGGGCATGTGTGTGTGTGTGTGTGTGTGTGGAGGGGGTTTGAGAGAGAGGGGGAAGAGGGCGGAAAAAGGGTATGCGGGCGCGTCACGTGACACGGCTTGAAAGGCAAGGTGTGGTGCCGCACCGTGGAAGGACTCATGGCAGAGAGCGGGGCGGGGGGTGATGCGATGGCTTGGGTGACATGGTCATGTAGCGCACGGAGCGCTTTACACTAAGGGTGGGATGGTGATGCCGTCGCCGGCGTCTGAGAAGATTCCTGGGCAGCACATTGTGGTTTTCCATGCCAATGCTTCTGACGAGCAGGTGGCGCGGCACATGTCGGTGCATGCGGCCATGGGCGAGGTCATGCACGAGTATAACATGGCTGGCGGGGCGTTCCGTGGGTACGCTGCCAAGTTTAACGAGGATCAGATCATGATGGTGGCTGCAGACGATGCGGTCGAGTTTGTCGAGGCTGACCAGACCATGCACATGCAGCAGAGCTGCGAGCGGCAGATCGAGGCGACGTGGAACCTGGCGCGGACGAACCAGCGCAACCTGGACCTCAACGGGCTGTATGTCTACCACACCGGGATCGGCGAGGGCGTGAACGTGTACGTCATCGACACCGGGATCTACGTCGACAACGTTGACTTTGAGGGTCGCGCCGAGCTCGGCCCGACCTTTGTGCCCGGCTCCACGTCGTCGGTCGACGGCAACGGACACGGGACGCACGTGGCGTCGATCGCCATCGGCAAGACGTGGGGTCTTGCTAAGGGCGCAACAGCAGTCGGCGTGCAGGTGCTTGGTGCCGACGGCTCTGGCTCCAACTCGGGCGTCATTGCCGGCATCGACTGGTGCGCGACTGACTTTGAAACCAAGAAGAAGGCGAACCCCAAGCTTCCGGCGTGGGTGGCCAACCTTTCGCTTGGCGGCGGGTACTCGTCGGCGACGAACCGCGCGGTTGATGCGCTGGTGAAGGCCGGCCTTGCCGTTGCCGTCGCCGCTGGCAACGACAACCGCGACGCCTGCAGCTACTCGCCGGCGTCAGCGTCGGATGTGCTCTCGGTCGGCTCGACCGACTCGCGCGATGACCGCTCGTTCTTTTCCAACTATGGCCGCTGCGTCGACATCCTTGCCCCTGGCTCGGATATCTCCGCTGCCTGGATCGGCAAGTATGCGACCAACACCATCTCGGGCACCTCGATGGCCTCACCTGGTATGGCCGGCATCATGGCCAAGATCGCCTCGACCTTTACCTCCTACCCCGGTGCGCAGGTCCAGGACGCCGCCATCTCCATCGCCACCTCGGGCAAGCTCCACGACCTCAACGGTTCCCCGGATCTTCTTGGCTTCTCCGACTGCTCGTAACAGTTTCGCGAGAGAGCGTTGCTTGTGCGCAGGTAAAGTAGCGAAATTTTGGTTGTTGCACCCCGGCCGAGGGGGGGGGGGGGGGGGTGTCAGGGCAGGAGAGTGGGTGTGGCCGAGGGCGAGAGCGAGAAGTACCCGTCTCGACCTTTGCACCACAGGCAGCATGCAGTCGACAGAAGACCAGTTTATCCCGGGAGCAGCCTCGCTTCGGGACGAGCTTGACCGTATGTGTGCGAGCAGGGAAGGAGGGAGGGGAGGGGGGGGGGGAGGGGGGGAGAGAGGGAAGGGGGGAGGCGGGGGGCAAGGAAGGTAGTCGGACTCATGGAAGGAAATGGACGCGGCATGGGTGGCTGGTGTGATGTCTGCGGTGATTGTGCTGGTGGTGGTGGTGCTACTGGTGGTGGGCGGTGGCGGTCCTGGTGGTGCCGGTGGCTGTGCTGATGACGGTGTTGGCTGGCGGACAGAGCGCATGCTGGTCGTTCTCCGCGACGGAAAGACGCTTGAAGGCTATCTCCGTTCGTACGATCAGTTCTCCAACCTGGTGCTGGAGGAGACGGTCGAGCGAGTGGTGGTCGGGCCGGATATGGCCACCATCGACGTCGGCACCTTTGTTGTCCGCGGCGACACCATCATGCTCATGGGCAAGGTCGACGGAGAGAAGCTCGCCTCGGCTGACGCTGCCTTTACTACCGTCGATGAGCCGACTCTCCGCGAGAAGCAGAGCCACGTCCGCCAGCTGGCCGCAGCCACCCGTGCGTCGCGAAAGGCCGAGCGCCTCGCCCGCGGCATCCTCGACGACACCGACCTCGATGCTCATGTCTGAGCCGCAGCACATCGTTTGCGCTGATGCTGCAGCTCCAGAAGTGCGTACTACCCAGCATCGCCCTGTCACAGACCAGAGCATGCTGGATCGTCGACGCCGTAGTCGGCGCCTCGACCTCGGCCTTTTCTGCCATTTACACGGCGGCCCAGCAGAGGGCCTCTGTGTTCACATCGGCAGCACTCCCCCCCCCCCCCCCTCCGACTCGCCTCCGTATGAATATCGGCATCTGGTGTCTCCAACTCTAATTTTCCCGCCCCCCCCCCCTTCGGCTACTGATCGGAGAGTGGTCGACCAACCCACGCCGGAGCGACTTCCGCACCACCGGCAGTGAGCGTGTCATGGCTACGGCCACACAGCCTCTCTCTCCCTCTCCCCCCACCCTCACCCTCACCCCCACCCCCACACACAGACATAGACATACAACTTCGAGTGGTGTGTGGTGGAGATGCAGCGACCGACGACAGCGCCTGCAAAGGTGGCGTTGGGCGGAGGAGTGGGTCGGCAGAGTGGCCGGCCAGGCAGTGCGGCACCAAGGCCCGCAGGCAGTGGTGAAGGAGGTGTTGAACGAGGAGTGACTGGCGGAGGAAGAGCAGGGGGGAGAGGCATGACAAGTCCTGGCCCCTCGCCGTTGGGGAGGACGTCGAGCGGAGGGAGATCAAGTCGGAATGGACGTACCGGCCCGGTCAGGTCGCGGAGCCGGACGGCGAGCCGGCCGGCAACAGCGATGACGGGGCGAACAAGGTCATCGACGGGCAAGAGGAGGTCGACAGGGAGAAAGAAGAAGCGCGGGCGGAGGAAGAAAAAGCCCAAGCCTTGTCCGCTCATCATCAAGCGCGGGAAAAAGTTCAAGGGCAAGCACGTTCCGCCAGAGTCGGAGGAGCAGGCGGCACGACTGGCTAATCGCGACGGTGCCCCGTGCGCCATCTGTGCTCAATGGTTGGCTGATCGGGTGGCGCTCCGCGAGCAGGCAGCGTCGATCAACAGACTGGAGACCGAGCTGAGCGAGACCAAGGAGCGGGCGGGGCAGGAGAAGGCGGCGATGCGGGCTGCCGAGGCCGAGGTCCGCAGCGAGCTGGTCAAAGAGCAGCACAAGAGCGTGTCGCGGCGGGCAACGCTAATGCGGCTGCAGGAGCAGATTGAGGCGCTCGAGCGCGAGCGCGACGAGCTTGTGCGCGACCTCGGGACGGCTGACATGCTCTCTAAGCGAGCAAAGAAGGAGTATGTGGCGCTGCAGGTCGAGCAGGAGCATCTGTGGAGCAAGCTCGCGGCGTCACGTGAGGAGGCGCGCAACCTCACTGGTGAGGTGAAGAACCTCAAGATCCACAACGCCACGCTTGAGCGTGAGCTCAAGACCGCGCACGCTGTCATCGAGTCGGCCGACACGAAGCGAGTCGACATCGACCAGGCGCTGCAGGACTCGCTTGCTGCCATCCGCGAGCTGCAGGCCGAGCTCGAGGCCGAAAAGGCTGAAAAAGCGGCACTGAAGGCCGAGTACGCCACTCAGGTCAAGCGCATTCCGCAGGCGTTTTACTCGCCGGCGCGTGCGCGCGTCGGCTTGGTCAAGAGCCTCGGCGAAAAGTCGCGCGAGCTCCGCCGCCACTAACTCGTTTCCGGGAAGAAGTAGTCGATGATGAGGTACGACGAGACGACGGAGAGTACGCCGGCGATCCAGAACTTGCCAGCAACCGGGAAGAGAATGGCGATGGCTCGCTGGAGCCACGGCAGCTCGCCCCACTGCTGCGAGGCCTGGACCGCGAGCAGCTTGCCCGAGTCGGCGTCGAGCATGGCCCACGCGTACGATTTGCCGATAAAGACTGTGTGCGGGTTGAAGGCAAACGGGCGGACAAGCTGGGTCGCTGGCCAGTACGGTAGGATGTAGATGGCGACCCACTCGTAGATGAGGAGCGGAACGGAGGCTGCGGTCGTTGACCCGCGGGTTACGCCCGACGTGATGGTCTGTGCCACGCATGCGTCATTGGCCTGTGCACAAATCTGACCCTGCGCAAGCAGGTGCACGTCGCCAGCGAGCAACAGGTCAATCGCCGGCGCTGGCCGCGAGCCAAACAAGGCCGCAAGAACCGCGTACGTCTGGTTCCGAAAATCGCCGTGCATCGAGTACCGCTCCGCCTCGTACCAGTCGGCGATGCGTGCGGCGGCGTGCTCGGTGAAGAGAACCGGGATCGGCGTGACAAGCACGGCATAACCGTTGCCGGTTAGCCCATACCTCCCACGGGCAAATGCCCGTAGCGCGTCAAACTGGTCGGCCGTAAAGAGCTCGTGGCGCGAGGTGGCATGGAGGAAGCGGGCGAGACGGAGGTCGGCGAGGACAAAGGTTGTGGCTCCGATCGCGCGCATTGCCAGCGGGGGACGCCGCCGAGATAGTTGGGCATGGTGGCATCTCCGTGCAGCGGAGCGATTCCGGGTCGCGGCGCCGGTGATCGGGTGGCGAGCCATGGCACATCCACCAGCAGCTGTGCCTGGTACTCGAGGTACGCCTCGATGCCGCCGCGGACAAGCGGCGCAAGGCGAGCGTCCCATGTTGTCGGATCAAGATTGTTGACAATGTCGTGGTCGTCCGGCAGCATCCAGTGAATGCCTGTACGGAGCAGCGCAGCCATGGTCGGCCGGCTCCAGGCCTCGAGGTAGAGCTTGGCGAAGCGGGCCCGCCAGTGGTTCACCCCTGGGAGCTCGCGCCCGGTAGCAAGCATGACGCGTGCTTCCGAGACTAGACTGTCGGCGTAGATCTGATCGCCCATGTGGATGGTGGCCAGGAGAGTCGTCGGGTTCTCACTCGCGACACCAGCCAACTCTGCCACAGTGACGTCGTCGCCGTCCTCCAGCCAGCGATCACACGAAAGAGCGAGCACGATGAGGGAGTCTGACTCGCCATCCTTCTCGTCGTCGCCGTTGTCCGGCATCGGCAGCTCAATGTTGTGCTTTGGCAGCGGAACGACAAAGTGAACAACGTTGTCAGCGGTCCCCAGCTCAACCGAGTACGCTGCGCCTGGGCTGAGCGCAGACGGCGGGACGACCCAGATCTGAGGGGCATCCACACGTGGCGTGAGCACAATATCGCCCAGATCTACAGCAGCATCACCAGTACAGCCCTTTGCACACGTCATCGTCGGGCGGAGAGTAGCAGGACATGCCTCGGCTGGGTGGAGGCACTGGTACAGGATGCGCGCGCCCGAGTCTGGCGACACGTCGCCGACGACCAGCAACAGCGACGGAGATGCAGAGGCTGTAGTGAGGGCGAGGGCGAGGGCGAGGGTGAAGGCGAGGGTGAGAGGGATGGAGGGCATGGTGGAGAGGGGTGGTGGGGGTGAGGTGTGTTCATGACGTGACTGAGTGGCGTCACGGGAAGGACTTGCTGGACGATGGCAAGGCCACGGTGGACTGCGGATGGGGATGGGGATGGGGATGGGGATGGGGATGGCGTATTAGGGATGGAGGTTGAGGGAGAGGGAATGGAGATGGATGGGGCCGGGAAGTAGCTGGTGCTGGAGAGTGATGGCAAGGCGATGTATGTGTGGGCAGTGTGAGCGATGGGTGTGGGCAGTGTGAGCGATGGGTGTGGGCAGTGTGAGCGATGGGTGTGGGCAGTGTGAGCGATGGGTGTGGGCAGTGTGAGTGATGGCAAAGGCGATGTATGTGTGGGCAGTGTGAGTGATGGCAAAGGCGACGCATGTGTGGGCAGTGTGAGCGATGTACGTGTGGGTAGTGTGAGTGATGGGTGTGGGCAGTGTGAGTGATGGCAAAGGCATCCTAATACCCTAGCGAGCTAGCCCACTGCCAATCCCAATCACGAGCTATGACTACCATGCACCCATCGCATGCCTCCATCGCCCTGGGCATGCGATCATCGCCATGGACATGCCTCGCCGCCATGACCATCGCGTCCTGTTGGGCGGCAATGTCGCGTTTGGCAAGGCGACAACAGCGACGGGCAGCTGACGGATAGGTCAGCTACAGAGACAGAGCAAGCGGGAGGAGCAGAGCACGTAGAAGACGGGTACCATCTCTCTTTGCTGGCGTGCAGGCGATAGCAGGAGTTACAGTAGGGGCTGTTTCTATCTCTCTGGCTCTGTGACTGTGTGCTGCTCCGAGTCATGGCTGTCCCTCCCGAGTCGGAGGAGTTTGCAGACTGCCGCAAGTGGCGGGCCAAGGCCATGCAGGGTATGTAGGAAGGGGAGAGGGGAAAGGAGGGGGGGGGGGGGGGGAGGAGGCAGGGACTCATGATGAGAGGCAATGGTGATGGTGATGGCTAATGATGCTGATGATGATGCCGATGGACGGCAATGTGGCGGTGGCGGTCTCGCAGATCCTACGGTGGTCTTTATGTTCGAGCACATGAGCAAGGCCGGCTGCCCGGTGCCCGAGTCGGCCATCTTCTGCTCGCAGTGCGATCGGTCGGTCCGGGGTGGCTTTCACCCGGAGGATGGCATTGTTTTGTGTGCGAACCAGATCGACTCGTATGCGCAAGTCCAGGAGACCATCGTTCACGAGCTCGTCCACGCCTACGACGAGTGCCGCGCGTTCATGGACTGGACTAACTGTGTCCAGCATGCTTGCTCCGAGATCCGCGCCGCAAATCTCTCTGGCGAGTGCCGCTGGGCCAACGAATTCAATCGCGGCAACTTTAACCTCGAGGGCCAGCAGGCCGCCTGTGTCCGCCGCCGTGCCGCGCTCTCTGTCAAGGAAAACCCGGCGTGCCAGGGCTCCAAGGGCCTCGAGGCCATCGCAACTGCATGGGACGCGTGCTACAACGATACACGCCCGTTTGACTACGCGCCGTAGCTCCCTCCTTCCCTCGCCCTCCTCTCACCGCCTTACGGCGCAAGTGCAAGCGCGAGCTGGGCCATCCGCCGGCCAAACAGCCACGCATCGCCGGGCCACCGCGCCGAGACGTACGGTAAGTGCTCGTCCTGGACCACAAAGGCAGCGCTGTCATCGAATAACGTTCCGCGGCCTCCGAGGATGAGCGGGCCGGCCGCAAAATGCTCCTGTGGTGCGTGCATAAACGACTTGACCTCATCGGCGCACGCTACATCGTAGGTCGTGTACCTCTTGCCCAGCTTCCACGATGTGAGCATGTAGCCCATCCGCTCGGACGATTTTGGCAGTGACGTTGTCGCCACCCCGTCGGCCAAGCACGACTCACCGGTTCCCGGATGGGTGGCGCGCGCGAGCAGGAGCGTGCCGTGGCAGATGGCGCCTACCACGCCTGTCGACGCCTCGACCCGGGTGGCCCAGAACTCGGCAACCAGAGCTTGCAGCGCTTCGGACTCAAGATACTGCCGCATTCCTGGTGCGTGGCCGCCCGGCAGCAGCAGGCCGGCAAACTGACCGAGCCGCTCGCCAGCGTCGGCCCACGTCGCCGGCGTGGTAAAGCCTGCGCTCGCCGCCATGTCAGAGTAGATCTCCCTTGCCCACGGCTCCATGTCCAGCGATGCGGTGAGCGGGAGACCAACACCGCCCGGACGAGTGAGCATTGTGTCGGCCTCGGGCGTGGCGCCGGTCTCGGTCGCAAACACCACCTCGATGCCTGCATTGATCATGACCTTCCACGGGACGGCGACCTCGGTGGGATCAAACTCAGCATCGCCGAGCACCGCTAAGACCCGCGCAGTTCGTGGGAGTACATGCCGGCCGATGTCAAAGAAGACCGAGACCTCAAAGAGCGCGACGAGCTGCGGAGCATCTACCAGCGCGCTCACATACGCATTGAGCGCTACCGTTCGCGAGGCGATAACCTCGGGCGATCGCGCCGACGACGCCAACCAGGTCTTCTCCGGCAGCTTTGGGAGGATCATCGCCCATCCCTGCGCGCGGATTGTCTTGCGAACAAATCTATCGAGCGCCACAAACCGCGAGAACCGATGTGCAGTCGTCCAGCTGAGACTCTGCTCGGCGGCCACCTCGACCTTGTACGCCACGTACGCCTCACCGCCCTCGCCCCTGGTGTCCACCACCTCGTAGTCGGTCACATTGGCCGTCACCGCCACCATCGCGTCGACCAGTCCATCCAGCGGCCGCACTCCAGCCATAGTTCAACCGGAGATGGGCGTGCAGGTAAGCGAGGGCGAGGGGCGGGGCGAGGGGGTAGGGCGAGGGGCTGAGACCGGGAGATCGAGCTCGACCTGAAAAGCGTGCAAGTACGCCAGGCTGGTTTGACGGGGGGGGGGGTGTTTACAACAATTTTTTTCTTCCCCCCCCCCTCCCCCCCACACACACTCCGTCTCCTTCCCAACTCAATGGTCACGTCATGTCCCTGTCACTCCCCCCTTCTTGCTCCCTCTCCCTTGCGAGTTGTCGTCACCGGCTCACTCCACCCCCCCCTCCCCTCCCCTCTCCCCCCCCCCCCATCCTTCCCTTCTTTGGGAAGCTCCCCAAGTCTGCCTCTTCCTTACGGTGGTATGGTACCAAGAAGGTCGCTGGAGAGCTCTCCCTATGGGCAGGTCCTCCATGTGCGTAGACGAGAAAGAGGGCGAGGTGCGGGAGCTTCTCCGGTACAAGAGAGGCTTCCAAAGACAATGATGGTGTCTTCCAAGACGGCAGACACCTTGCCAGCTGCACCACCACGCCAAGCTGTTGCTTCTCTGGCAGCTACTCGCCCTCGTCCCCGTTCTCGTCCTCGCCGCAGCCGTCCTCGCTCCCTTCCGTATCATGAGGCTGGCTCGGCTGGCAGTGAGTCGTTCTCGGCTGGCACTCGCTCTCGTGCGCGGCCTCGCTCACTGCCGCAGGACCAAGCTGGGCTGGTTGCTGCCACACTTGGCGGCTTTGATACTTATCTAGCGAATCATGTCACCTCCGGATCGTCGCTATCGCGGTCAAGCTCGCGCTCCCGCTCGCCAGCCTCTACCGTGGCGAGCACCAGCTCCTGTGCTCGGCTCAGTGATGGCGCTCGTGGTGGGCGCGGGGCGAGCCGCACCAGCAGTCGGTCGCGCAGTGCACGTCGCCGCCGCCGCCCGGCACCACTCTCTCTTGCCAAGCTCCCGCTTGGTTCGCCGCAGCTCGTCGCGGACTCGGCGCCGGTCCGGATCCCGAGTCGTGCTAAGCACAGTGCCAACAAGGCGCTCTCGCTTGAGATGCTGCTGAGCTCGAGCCCAGACGCGCCACGAATTCCAACACCGAGCTATGCTGCTCACCGGAGCCCAGACGCCAGACCGGCGTCGCTCCCGTATGAGCCGATCAAGTTGAAGTACCATGTCCCGGCGCCGATCTACGTTGCCCATCGGGCGCCGATGCATGCCGCGCACGCGAGGGCAGTCACTGAAGAGTCTGGAGCAGACTCGGACGTCTCATCTGAGAGTGGGACTGTTGACGATGAGCGACTCGGCTACACCGGTGGCAGCGAGTCGACGTCCGTCTCACCGACACCCGAGAACGTGTTCCAAGGCGCCCACCCGCTGTTGATCCCAAGCCAACCCATGTCCAACACGAGTCGCCAGTGCCGCTAACTGCGCCGGACTCCCCGCGCCGAACTTCCCACCCGCTGTCGATCCCAAGCCAACCCATGCCCAACACGAGTCGCCAGTGCCGCTAACTGCGCCGGACTCCCCGCACCGGACTCCCCACCCGCTGTCGATCCCAAGCCAACCCATGCCCAGCAAGACGAGTCCGCCACTCTCTCGCCGTGTACGCCTGAACTTCCAGCGCCGGTATCATCGTCGACCAATGACCTCCCGTCGTCGTTGTTGCTTGAACTGGCCTCTCCTGGGCCGGTCTCCGACTCTGACCCACCTCCTTTGCGGCAAGCATCCAACTCGAGTGACGACGAGTCGAGCTTTGGCTCTTCGCTCGCATCCCCGCCCTCCTCTTCCTCCTCTTCATCGTCGTCGAGCTCGACGTCAAGCCAATGTTCCAGGTCGTCCGCCGCTGGCAACCCGCCGCCGCTTGTCTGCGTACTTAATTACGGCACCGAACAGTCGAGCAGTTCACTCGTCGAGTCGGATCCACTGTCGATGCCGGCAACGCCATCGAGCTTCTTGCCGTCGATGCTGGCAAAGCAGACATCGACTGAATCGACGCTCAACACGCCCGGTACCGGCGGCTCGGGCCACTCAGCGTCGTCTTTTGGGATAGGCTTCATCTCGTCGTCGTTTTTGGTCGACATGCCGACGCTCAACTACGACGACGTGCCGGTCATGGACGATTTGCCAACCGCGCCGCTGATGCCACACCTCTCTCCCCCATCGTCCCAACTCTCGACCAATCGCAACCCGCCGCACATCTCTATCGGCCCGCCGACGCCTTCGATCATTGCCACGCCGCAGCACTCGTCACGCGCTGCGCTGCTGCCCTCGCCGTCGTGTGAAAGCTCCATTCCCGACGCGGACGTGGTGGTCTTTGCCGCTCACCCGGAGATTGGCTCGAAAACCTGCCCCGACTCGGACCTGTCAGTGGCTTCAGATTCTGCTCCGCTGCAGGCAGCGTGTGAAGTGGACACTAGCCCTGGTGTGGGCTCGCGCTCTGCCGCTACCGACACCGGCTCCGAGCACTCAACCTCTCACCTCTCGCATTCGTCGTCAGCGCGGTTCTCTCCACGAGGACTCCTTGTCGCGCGCGCGCGCCGTGTATCGTCTGGCTCCGGGAGCGACACCGGCATCATGCCGTCGTTCTCGAACGTCTCCAACATGTCCAACATGTCGGCACTCAACACCTCTCATCTCCTTGATCGCGACCGCCTCGAGTGGCACGCACGGCTTCAATCACGGTCGGCGTCGGCGGTTGGACTCGACCAGTCGAGAGACTCCATCTCTGAGATGGGCTCGTTTCCGGTCATTTCGCCGTCGAGCTCGATGCTGCTTGGCGATGTCCTCGCGCCGGTGCCGTCCCACGACAGCGCAGGCATTGTCGAGGCCACACCATCGAACCGCAGCCCAACCCTGAGCCTGTCGTCGACGTCGTCATCGAACGCCCGACCGCTGTTAAGCTCGTCGCGCCCGTCGCATCAACCTGACCGCTCGGAGCCGTTGGCGAGCTCGTTGTCGCTCCGCGAGTCGGAGCACTCGTTGCCTACCATCACTTCTGGCGCCAGCACGCTGCACGTGTCAGACAAGTCAAGCTGCTCAGCGTCGGCGCGTCCGCCACGCGAGCGGCTCGGTGCTGTCATATTGCCACTCGACACAAACCCGGAGCGCCGTCCGCAGAACATCGCCTCGCCGTCCTCGCCCAACGCCCGGCAGACGCTCGGAAACATCGCTCACGCCCTCGACACCGTCCCATCGCCCGTCTCGCTTGACTCGTCGTTTTCGTCGTCGCCGGCACCGCCGTTTCAGCCCGCGCAGCCCAGCGACAACGCTTCTGTGCCGCTGTCGACACCAAGCCGCAGCAGGTCCCGGCGTGGTTCGCGCAAAGGCCCATCCAAGCATGTCCGTTCACGGCGGGTTCGTCGGCGCAAGCGGCGAGTTGACTCGACAGCCACCCGCATCGCGCCACCAACACCTCCGTCCATACCAGTCACGCCAACAGCACTGACGGCGCCGGTCCGGCCGCGGCCAATTCCACCGCGCGCTCGTGAGAGGCTCGCTCAGCCTGGTATGCCCATGCTCGACGTATCGCACAACCCGCCGCTCATCCCGCCAGGCACCTCGCCGCGCTCGCCGCTCCAAAGCGATGCCGTCTCGGTCGCCGCTGCCTTTTCGCTTTCACGCAGCCAGGCCGGTGGTATCCACACCCCGACCGCCGGTTCGGTTGCCTCGGTAGCTTCGGCCTTTGGTCGTCCTTCAACCGGCGCGCCTCTCGCCAGCGAGTACCGCGCCGCCCGCTCCGAGCAGCTTGCTCTGTCACGCGCCGGCCCGCGCGCTTACTCGCCGCCACTCGGTGAGCCAGCCGTGGCGCGACTCTCGTCTGATGGCATCCCGTCCTCGGTTGGTTCGCCAGCCTCGACCTGCACCGCCAACACCTCGAACACCTTTACCCTTAACTCACCCGCCGCAACCTCGCGCGAGCGCAACCTCTCGCTCTACTTTGACGCCGCCATGCAGCTGTTCTTCGACCCGACCACCCACACATACTATGAGCTCGACTTTGACGCCAAGTAAAGCTCATCACATCGCATCACGCCGCTCACGCTGCATCTATATTCATCCAACCTGTCACGCTCGGCACGATCGTGATCACGACAACACTCACGCCAACCGCGCCCACGGCACCCCCCGGCCACTCCCACTCACCCAACTCCACCCATACTCACATGCCCCCACTCTCCGTCCTTCCTCTCTTCACCTTTCTCCTGCTCCTCGCCCACACCGTCGGCTCTACCACTCTCACACTCTCCCCAGCCACCCATCCCACTGTGGCCGACGTCCTCGCCGCCGCTGCTGCTGCTGCCAACGCATCTCCGTCGCCTCCTGCTAGTGTTGTGGTCCGACTTGAGACTGGCGCCTACACCGGATGTAGCGGAAGCTCGTGGTCGCCTCCGACCTCGCTGACCTTACTCTCTTGGATCAAAGCCGATGATGCTGGGGATGTGACCTGGACCTGTGTCGATGCCAGTGATACCCCGCTGTTGCAGGACCTTCACTCGGCGCTGAACGTCTCCTTCTCGGGCATCGATCTTGTCGGTCTACGCCCGCTAGCATCTGTTGATGGTGGAAGACTCGTTCTGAGCAATGTGACTCTGACTGGCTTTGCCTCGGCTTCGTCTTCGGCCTGGATTGCACTTGCTGGCGATTCCGGAGCAGTTGTTTGCGACAGGTGCGTGCTGGTCGATTCGGTCGCGTCTCCGGCGGTCATCACCGTCGCCGACTCGTCAAGCCTCCGCATGAGCGACTGCACTGTCGAGCGAAATGCCGGCGATTGGGCGGGTGTGATCTCGGTCGATTCCGCTGTCCCGGGTGCGTCGGTCGTGCTCGAACGGAGCGTCTTTCGCTACAACTCGGCCTCTGGTGGCGGCGGCGTGCTGTATGCCGCCGACAACGCAGACGTTTCGGTCAGCTCAAGCGTGTTTAGCGGAAACACCGCGTCTACAGGCTATGGACTTGGTGGCGTGTTTGAGATCAGCAGCGCAGTGCTTACGCTTGACAATGTGACCTGCGAGGACAACGTTGGGAGCGTCTCGGGCGGTGTGGCACATCTTACTGGCTCTAGCGAGCTCGCAGCGCATCGCCTCGTGGCTAGACGCAACTTGGGCGGCAGTCACGGCGGTGCAGTCTTTGCGTCGGGCTCCGGGACATCGGTGGTGGTGCAGGCATCGCTTATCGAGAACAACATGGCGACTACGACTGGCGCTGGCGTGTATGTGAGCGACGGGAGGCTAGCGCTCACAGATGTGGTGCTCCGGCGGAACGGTGTCACTGGCGGCCTACCCGACACCCTTGTCGGCGGCGGTGTGGCAGCCTCGAGTGCAAGCTCTGTGACCATTGACCTGTGCTCCTTTTCTGGCAATCATGGCTACCGCGGCGGCGGGCTCTCACTCACCTCGTGCGGATCCGGCCATGTGCGGGGAAGCGTTTTCGAAGACAACTCCGTGAGCGGCGCCACCGAGCCGGCAGTCGGCGCTGGCATCGTCATCATTGGCGCAAGCTCAGGAGTTGTTCTTGTCAACTGCACCTTTGCGCGCAACGTGGCCGAGTTTGATGGCGGTGGCATTTCGGTCTTTGACGGCGCGCCTCTCGAGGTGATTGGCTCGGTCTTTGATAGCAACTCAGCTGAAGCGGGTGGTGCTCTCAACGTAGCTGGTACGGCTGGGAGTCGGGTCGTTGGCTGTAGTTTCATGCACAACACTGCAGGCTCAGTTGGCGGGGCACTTCACTTTGACAAGGGCTCTGGCAGCCTCACAATGACTGGATCGGTGCTGGTCGGCAACTCGGCCTCGGGTGGCGGCGCCGTGTATGCAGACGAGGTGAGTAACGTGGCGTTTGTGGCGTGCAACTTTAGCGGCAATGTTGCATCCGACTCGGCGGGTGTGCTCTGGCTCGATTCGGAGCCGCGAACCCACGGCGGGATCCAAGTTACGTTTGACTCGTGCGTCATCGAGCATTCACGTGGCTCGCAGGGCGGTGCGCTGTACGTGGAGCACTCGGGCCTGGCTCTAATCGACTCGACCCTTGGCCACAATTCGGCGACACGGCAGGGCGGGGTCATGTACTCATTCATCGCCATGATCGAGGTACTCCGCTGCCGGTTCGAATCCAACGTTTTGGTAGATGCGTCCGGCGGTGGCGCACTGTACATCGACTTGTCCAACGCCGCATCGGGTGCCGAACTCTTGCCAGGCACGACCATGTCGGCACGCATATCGAGCTCAGTTTTTGTGAACAATACTGGTGGCTTTGGTGGTGCTGTGGCGGCGCTGGACTCGACAATTCATATTCGCGACTCGGTCTTTGAAGCAAACGTGGCATCGCTGCCCGACGGTGGGCTTGGCGGCGCGGTGTCAATTCAAGGCTCTGCCGGCTCCGACGCAGTCATTGCCAATGCCACCTTTACTGGCAACCGCGGTGTCAAGGGCGGCGCGCTTCACTGCTCGCGATGCGTCCCGCTCGAGCTCCGCGATGCATCCTTTACCGCCAACTCAGCCCACATGCTGGGAGGTGCGCTGCACATTACGGCGTCGCTTCCGTATCTCGCCCGGCTCGCCCTCACTTCTAACGCTGCGTTTGCAGGCGGCGGTGCATACCTTGACGCGACAGTGCCGCGAAGCGCGAGTGAGCTCAGCCGTAGCGGAGTTAGGCTCGGTCTGAGCAACTCGCATGTGAGCGGCAACTCTGCAGGCTCGCGTGGCGGCGGGCTCTACGTTGCCTTCTGCAAGTCGATGGCTCTGGTCGCGGTTGAGCTCCGTAGCAACTTTGCATTCGAGTCGGGAGGCGGCATGTGGATTTCTGGGACCGAGGTAGAGATGGAGAGGCTTGATGTTCACAGCTGCAGATCGTCGCTGCTTGGCGGAGGCATTGGGATTGAGGCGAGTGTCTTTTCACTCCGCAACGCAAGTTTCGAGCAGTGCACTTCGGATCTTGGCGGCGGGCTCTACGTCGACGCCGGCTCGACCGCGAGCGGCGCTCTTTCGCTGCTGGCATTGACGAGCAACAGCGCGAGCTCGTGGGGTGGTGGGCTGCTGAGCCAGATGACCACGCTGGCGCTTGCCAACAGCACGTTTACTGGCAACGATGCGCGCTCTGGTGGCGGCGGCGTGGCCGCGTTTGAGCCGCGAGCACTGACGATGACAGGCTGTGCGCTCATCGGCAACGTGGCGTCGGGCGACGGCGGACTCGGTGGAGGGCTGATGGCGCTACACACGCCAGGCCTGCTTCCGCTGCCGGAGATGGTGCGATTGGAGGAGGTGGTATGGAAGAGCAACGGAGCTGCTGGGAGCGGCGGTGACGTGGCGCTGGGCAACCTTGGCACGGTCGAGGTCTCGAGATCGAGCGCGCATGGATCGGGTGCGGTCGGGAACGCAGGCTCGTGGTATGTTCACCAGACGCAGCGTGTCACTCTGGTGTCCAGCACGATTTCCGGTGCAGGGGCCGGTGGCGTCGGCGGCGGCATGGTTGTTTCGGCCTCAAATGTGACTCTCGGCCGAGGCAGCAGTGTAATGGGATGCAGTGCTTCTGCCGGAGGCGGGGTGTGGGTCGAACTATCTGAAGGGCCGACGATGCTGACGCTCGGTAACAGTGCCAAAGTGACAGGCTGCCTGGCGTTCGAGGCCGGCGGTGGTGGCATTGGATGCGGGACGGTGGCCGGCGTGGCATCGGCGTCGGCGCAGCAGTGTGTGGTGGTGCGTGGCGGAGTGGTGGCAAATAACGTCGCAAGCAGGGCTGGTGGTACTGGTGGTGGTGTTGCTGTCTTTGATCGCGGCTCGTGGGCGTGGCTGGACTCCGGCGCAGTTGTGAGCGGGAACACAGCTGATGTTGGTGGCGGTGTGTATTCGGTGGTTGCAGAGGCGGGGCTGGCTGCCAGCAGCGGAGTGATTGGCAACTCTGCAGAGCTGTACGGCAGTGAAGTGGCGAGCGCGGCGGCCGAGGTGGTATGGGACGTGGTGCCGGCGGCGAGAACGGTGTCGGGAGTGACGTTGCTGCCGCGGGCTGGGTCCGGCGGACTGACTCGGATCCGGGCCTCACTCCGCGACGGATATGGCCAGCGAGTGGTGGGACCGGCGGTGGCGGGCAGCATGCTCGAGTTGACAATGGCGTCGGCCGATGCTTTGTTGTCGGGTAGCACCGCCGTGCCTGTCGACGAAAAATGTGGATGTGGCGAGTGGGATGATGTTGTTCTGGTGGCGGCAGAGGTAGCAGCTGCGCGGCAGCTGGTGGTCGAGGCGGTGTCAGGACTCGAAGAGGTGGTGCGCGGCGTAGTGGGCGTTGACCAGGAGCCGTGCACTTCAAGCGGCCGTGAGATTGTGGACACCGGGCTGGCATATCCTGTCTGCACTGTCTCTTGTGAGCCTGGATCGTTTGCTACGACGGTGCAGGTGGCGATTTCTGGGACAAAGCAGAGTTTGACCGAGACGCGCTGTGAGGCATGCCAGGCCGGCACGTTTTCACCCGTCCGCGGGCAGGCCGAGTGCACTGCATGTGACGACGGAAGCTACTCGGAGCGCGGAGCGAGGGGGTGCGCGAGCTGTCCACTTGGGGCGGTGTGTGCTGGTGGAGTGTTGCGGACACAGGCCGGATATTGGTACGACAGTGAGCGTGGAGCGTTTGTGGCGTGCGCTGTAGCTGCGGCATGTCCAGGAGGCGCGCGCAACGGGAGCTGTGGAGCCGGGTATGTGGACGGATCGTACGTGTGCTCGCAGTGCGAGAGCGGATTTGAGCGAGCCGGCTCGACGTGCGTCTCGTGTGGCCCGGTCTGGCAATCTGTTCTTGTCCTGCTGGTTGTGATTTGCCTTGTGGTGGCAGTTGTGGGACGTGCGATGATGACGGTGTCGGAGACGACGGATCTTGCAGTCATTCTGAAGGTGCTCATCAACTTTACCCAGATGACGGCGCTGCTGATGCGGCTGGATGTGTTTGGCGACCGGTCTGGTACTGTGGGTCTGCTTGGGGTGTTTGATCTTGCGCAGGGCATGCTCGGTTCGTTCCACGAGCTCCAGCCAGCGGCGTGTCTCTTTCGATGGAGCATTTTCGACGCGTTTGTCTCGACGGTCCTCCTGCCTGTGGTGGTGCTCGTAGGCGTGGCTTTCGGGTGCGCAGTGGCGTTTGTGTGTGTGCGGCGGGGATGGACGTCGTGGCGGCCGCGGAGCCACGGGCTCGATGGCGACGACGGCGTCGGCGTTGCCGACGGACTTGTGCGGACGTTTCTGCACGCGGCAACAGTTGCGTTCTTCCTTCTCCATACCACGCTCGTCCTGCAATCGCTCAACATGCTGGTGTGCCGAACGGACATCCGACGGCTTGAAGTGGACATCTCTGTCGAGTGCTTGTCGCGGCGGCACAGACCGTACTTTGTGGCAGCGATTGTTACGCTTGTGGTTTACGGGATTGCACTCCCTCTTGGCGCCGGAGCCGTACTGTGGCGCGAGCGACGGGTGCTGCGATCGTCAGCGTTTGTGTCTGTGGCGTTTGGCTTTCTGTACTCAGGCTACCGGGCACAGCACTGGTACTGGGAATTTGTTGTTGTGCTCCGCAAGGTTGCAGGCCTCCTTATTGTGGTCTTTGTCGAGTCGCCACTGCACCAGGTCGGGCTGGCGATGCTCCTAGTTGTGCTCTCGATTGTGCTGCAGTCGCGGCAGATGCCGCTGCGGTCACGGCTGCTGAACGGGATGGAGCTGAGCTCGCAAGGAGCGATGGTGGTAACGCTTGTAGGTGGGCTGTTTCTCTCTGGTGCCAACTCTGGCTCGCACGCTGCGCCTGTGGTTCTGCCCAACCTTGCGGTGGCGATTGCGCTGGTGGTGGCCAACGGTGGTGTGATGGCGTTTATTGTGTTCATGCTCGGGCGTGAGCTCTCACCACGAATCAAGGCCAAGATCATTCCGTGCTACAAGGTGACGGTGGAGACGATGGCCGACGTTGCCGAGTTTCTACACGAGCACTCTGTTGGGTCGTTCAAGGGCATGCGGCGATCGAGCTCGCGGGCTGATGGCGGCGGAAGCGAGCTGGTCCGGCTGGCGGCAGCTGAGCGTGTGCGGCGTGCCGAGATGGGCATGTCGGTGCCGCCGTTGCCATCGCCATCAGTCCGCGGGTCGAGCGGCGCATCCGGAAGGTTGCCGCTGCTGCCGCTGCTACCACCGCTGGTTGGGCAACGGCCGCTGCCGCCGCCAACAGGCTTCGAGTCGGCATCGACCAGCAGTGGCTGCGAAGACGAGTCTTGGAGCAGCTGCAGCAAGGACGAGGACAAAGATAGAAGCGAGGGGTAGAAAGCTGGTTTAAAATGGCCTACTCATCGATGTAGCGCGGGCGGGTCGTTTCGGTGTGCTCTGTGCGGGCACGAGCGGTGGCGACTGCGGCGCAAATGGCGACGAGGTAGATGATGATGGTGGTGACGAGGGCAAAGGTAGATGCAGCCTCGGAAGCGATGACGACGACCACGATAGCGATACAGGTGGTTGCGACCGCAGATGCGATTGCGCGCCAGCGGGAGATAGACGCCCAGGCGATGGCGACCATAGAGGTGGCGACAACGGCGGCAGTGCCGACCAGCTCGGTGGACGGCGAATGGCGGATAAAGACCGAGATGGCCGAGATGGCGAGGACTGTGATGAAGGGGACAGTGCCGATGGGCGCGCGCGAGGCAGTGAGGCCAGCAAAGAGGAACCGGAGGCCATCCCGAACCAGGAAGAGGTTGAAGCGCATAGCATCAGAGGGGAGGCGGACTGCAGGATCCCGGGAGAGCGCGCGGACAACAAAGCCACGGATGGCAGTCATGATCGGAAGGCCGAGGACATAGACGATCATGATAGGCCAAAGGAGAAGGATGGCGGCAGTGAGGTGAGTGCCCTTGTAGCACTCGGTGGCGATCTCGTAGTCGAGGCGCTGGACGTGATCGGCGGCGTAGAAGCAGCGGAGGCCAACAAAGGTGCGGTAGGCGAGCGGAGTGTAGAAGACCGAAGCCATAAAGGCCATGCCGTAGGCGACCCACGATCGCAGCGGCACCGTGTGCGGCATGTCCTGGGTCCACTCGGAGACCATGGTATCGGAATCCGACGAGTCACAGGTGGTCGAGCCGCGCGAACCACGCGAGCCGCGCGAACCGCGCGAACCGCGCGAACTGCGCGAGCCGCGACGAGACGCGCCCTTGCCGCGCGGCGAGTTCATCGGTGAGCCATTGTCCGACGAGTCGGCGTAGCGTCCGATAAAGCTGCCGGTGGTGTTCTGACGAGCAAGCGAGGCGTTCGAGGGCTGCATGCTGAGGAGCGAGGTAGAGGCAACGATGGAGCCGAGCGACGAGCCGTGCTCCCAAAGCGGAACAGAGAGCTCGAGGTCGCCGTCCTTAGAGTGGAGGCGCGAGTGGATGATGGCACCGATGATGGCGCCCACAAAGACCATAAAGGCGGCAAAGAGGACAAGGATGCAGTAGAGGGCAACAAAGTAGGGGCCGGTCCAAGTCTTGGTGCAGCCGATGGCAAAGACCTCCGGATCAAAGAGAATGATGCCCGACCAGCGGACGGCCTGAGTCCGGAACGATGAGACGCCAGGGATGCCCGAAGAGAGGCCGACGAGGTAGCGGATGGCAAGAGCGAGGAGCTGGAGAGACATGAGGGTGACAACAAACATGCCAGCCTTGCGGCGCGAGGCGCAGCCGAGGACGAGAGCGACGATGATGCAAAAGAGAATGAAGAAGAGGATGATGATGGTGCGGGTGACATCGGCTTCGCACGGCATGCACGTCCCAAACGAGGCCATGTGGAAGCCAGTATCACACGAGGTACACTGGTGGCCAGTGCGGCCACGGGCACACGAGGCATGCGACGAGGTGCCAAAGCCGTCGGCACCAGCGCCGTTGCCAGATGAGTCATCGGACGACGGCGGGACCGAGGCGTGGCCAGACGAGTAGCCGGGACAGTCGTCAGGCACCGGGCAGCGCTCGGGAGGTGTCGACTCATCATCGTTCCAGTAGCCCGGACGAGCCCAGAACCGATCGCCACCAGGGCAGTACGCGCCCTCAAAGTCTGAGCAGTCGCGGCAGACGCCATCGACGAGGACAAAGCCGGGATCGGTGCACTCCGAGTCGACGTAGTACATCGAGCCAGTGACCCAGTAGCGGGTGGCCGAGTCAGTGGCTTCGTCGTGGGCGACGACGCGGACATGGGTGTAGCCAGCCTTGGCAGACGGCGGCGAGGTGAAAGAGACCTCGCCGGCGGCGTTGACGGTTGCTTCCACCGTGACCCAGGTCGGGGACTCATCGTCGGCCGATGCGTAGACGGCGACCTCGACGGTGACCGCCGAAGCGGTGGTAAAATCGACGATGGTCGAGTCGGTGGTGAGAGTCATGACAGTACCACCGGCGACCGGTGAGGCTGACGGTGAATGGTGCCACACGATGGGTCGGGTCTCGTCTGAAGTCGTCGACGATGCCGGCGGCGGCGACGGCGGCGTGGTGGGCGGCGACGGAGTGCCCGGGGACGGCGGCGACGGAGTGCCCGGGGACGGCGGCGGCGGCGGTGACGGGGTAACGTGCTCACAAGCGCCAACCCAGACGTGACCGGAGGCGAGGTTGGCGGCCGGGCCGCCGAGGACAATGTCGACGCAGGCGGTGAGGTCGATGTTGCCGACGGCGACCGAGGCGCCGATCTCGGCGCCAATAGAGAGGAGCGACTGAAGGGCAGGGACGGCCGAGTAGGAGATGCGTGAAAAGTCAACAACAGCGAGGTCGGTGGCAGACGCATTCAGCATGAGAACGTTGATGACGCCGTAGTCGGGGCCGAGGTCAAGAGCGCCCGAGGCGCCGGCCACCAGATCGATGGCACCGTCGCCGTCGAGGTCGGCAAGGGCAAGGCTGGAGCCGAGCTTGGCATTGGCACCAAGAAGCGGCGACGGGAGGAAGCCAAGGGTACCGGCCTCAAGAATGGAGACCTGGACGACGGCGTGGGTTGCCCAGTCGATGTCGAGAAGGTAGACGCGACCGGCAAGCGCGCCATGGAGCGGGGCACCGATGGCGAGAACCGGTGAGCCGGTGCCGCGGATGTCGGCGGCGGCAATGGCAGTGCCAAAGCCGGAGTCCTGGGCAATGCCCGCCAGAGCGGGAGCCGAGTTGTCGAGGATCGAGTGAGAGATGAGCGAGCCGTCGGTCCGCGAGAGGGTGGCGATGATGATTGCGCCGTGCGGGAGAAGGGTGACGCGGTCGCGACCGGCGGCGAGGCCGATGACGACGACAACCTCAAGAGCGGGGTTGACGCCAGGCACGCCGGCAACAACCGAGAGACCAGCACCAAAGAGCTCGCCAGGGAGAAGGGTGGTGCCGAGGGTGCCGGGGCCAATGCCGTTCGCGAGGACGTTGACGCCCTTGATCGAGCCATCGACGTTGAGGAAGAGGACAAAGACCTTGCCCGTGGCGCCGTTGAGGGCCGGAGCGCCAACAAGGAGGTCAGGCACCGAGTCGCCATCGAGATCGCCTGGGCCGGCGATGCCGAGCCAAACTGGCCGAGCGAGAGCGAGAGGTGGGCGGTGAGTGCCGGGTCGGCACCCGAGAGAACACGCGACGCCTTGACAGTGCCGTCGGCGTTGAGGAAGACGAGAGTGATGGAGCCGTCGCCAAGGTTGGCAAGTGGCGAGCCAAAGACCGCGTCACCAATGCCGTCGCCGTCGATGTCGCCAACAAGGGCAACGGCAGCACCAGAGCGGGAGAGCGGCGGGTACGTCACCGTCGAGTTGTCCCAGTCGATAATCGAGTTGAAAGTGATGTCGGCCGAGGTCGACGGGACGAGAACGAGAAAGACGGCGATGGCGCAGCAGAGCGCAGAAGTAAGCATGGTCGACATGCGCATGATAAAGGTAAAGAGGAAAAGAAGAGAGTTAGCGCCAACTGGGGCTATTCAAGGAAAAGAGATAGGGAGGAAGGTGTGAGTGACTAAGTGCGGGAAAAGTACGAGAAAACGGGTCGGGTTTTGTTGTGGCCATACTCGGGACAGTCAATTTAGTCTCTTTCTGTGCCGCACTTGCCGTAGCTGTCATCACCTGCATTCTTCCGCCGTTTTGCCACAATGAGGAGAGAATGGGCGCAGAAAGAACATAATATGGTTGCAGACGTCTGTCATGGTGGTGTTTGGGGTTGCTGTGTGTGTACGTAGGGAGGAGGGGTGCGTTCTGTGGATGCTGGTCAGCATACGGTCCGCTCGCATACGTTTGACATTTTGACTGACGGCCGATACGGATGACCGCATGACCGCAGAACGTTGTGCCACAGCGATGAACAAGGCTACTTGGCATGCACAGGGAGGTGGGTGGAAATAAGCGCGTACCGTTGAACGGTGGGGGGGGGGGGGGGTCCAAAGGGCAGAGGAGGAGAGTCGTGGGTAGAGGTGAAGGTTCCGCGGTACGGGACGAGTTGACAATTCTAGATGTAGTCAACGGATTGGATGCGGAGATTTTTTTGTTCGGTGCGGCTACGGGACTGACAGCGTGGCTTTGATTGCAGGTCAATTGATGTCAAATACTTGCAACAGGATCGAGATGGGTCGAGTTGTGATGCGGGTTGCTCACCGATAGTGGGTGCGATGGACGATGATGGTGGTAGTGGGTTGGGCTGTGATAGGCTGGGGACATAGAGCGTTGCTAGTGTCCGGGCAAGAGCCAAGCAGAGGGTGGATCTTGTAAACTACGCAGCCATTGTGCTTGGCGCAGGCTGGATGTGGGTGCGGAGAGGAGGTGACGCAAAGTAGAGTGTCAGACATGGTCATGCGCCCAGCAAAGGGTTCATTCGGTGGCACAACGGAACGGGCGAGTTAAGGGCGGTAGCGGGTGGAAAGTGGGTCGTGGGACGGAGGGGTGAGGGGTGAGCACATGGGACAAAATGCGGTGGCGCGCGGCGGACAAAACGCGCGCTCAACTGCCCCAGCTCACCGAGGGTACAAAAGCCGACGGATTTACGGGCAGGGCGGAGCTCGGAGAGCAAGGACATCCAAGCCTTTGCTTTTTACTTGACCATGCTTCGCTGCTTCCTAAGCTCGTCTGTGGCCAGCCGTGTTGGTCGTTGTGCGATGCGCGCCGGGAGCGCGCGGACGCAGGTGTCGATGGCGGCAGACGCGGCGTCTGTTGAGGTGGCGCAGCCACCGATTCCGCGCGACTCGCCACTCGCGCCGTTTGCCAACGAGGTGTATGAGGAAGAGGACCACTCTCTGGCCGGAGCGGTGCCATCGACGGCAGTCATTGAGGCGCTTGTGGCTGAGCACGGCTCGCCACTGTTCATCATGTCGACCGACGCGGCGTGGGGCCAGTACCAGGCGCTGCAGGCCGCACTTCCGCGGGCAAAGCTCCACTACGCAGTCAAGTCGCTGCCGCAAATTGATCTCTGTCGAGCACTGGCAGAGCGCGGGGCCATGTTCGACCTCGCGACGACCGGTGAGGTGGAGATGATGAAGGAGCTTGGGGTCGACCCGAGCCGGACCATCCACACGCACCCAATCAAGCGGAAGAAGGACGTGGAAGCTGCGCTCGAGTACGGGTGCACCACCTTTGTGGTGGACAACTTCAACGAGATCGAAAAGATGGCGGCGTTCAAGGACGACGCCGAGGTCATGCTCCGGCTCTCGTTCCGATCGATGGAGGCGACGATCGACCTGTCGTACAAGTTTGGCGCCCAGCCGCACGAGGCGATGGGCATGCTGCGGGCGCTGCGTGAGTCGGGTGTGCCCACACGCGGCCTCTGCTTCCACACCGGCTCCAACGCGGCGCTGCCGACCAAGTCGGTCGAGGCCATCCGGGTCTGTCGCCAGCTCTTCGACATGGCCGCCGCCGAGGGCATCGCCCTCCGCACCCTCGACATCGGCGGCGGATTCCCCGTCCCGGACGTCGGTGCTGTCCTGCCCATCGACACGTACTGCGAACCCGTGGTCGAAGCGCTCGACGAGCTCTTTCCCAACACCGAGATCCTGGCCGAGCCCGGCCGGTTTGTCGCGGCGCCAGCCATGACTCTGGTCACGTCGGTCATGGGCAAGTCGACACGCTCCGGCATGCACTGGTACTATCTCGATGACGGTCTCTACGGCTCGTTCTCGTCGCAGGTCTTTGATCACCGGACGGACACCATCATTCCGCTCAAGGCTCTCCGCGCTGCAGAGCGCGGAGAGACCACGCTCCAGTCGTACCTCGTCGGCTCCGGCGCCGGCATCGACGCTCGTCACGCCATTGAGTCGTTCCCCTCGGTCCTCGCTGGCCCGACCTGCGACTCGTTTGACACGATCCGCGAGGGCGTCCTCCTCCCTGACCTCAACGTCGGCGATCTGCTTGTCTCGCCCATGATGGGCGCGTACACCCTTGCCTCGGCCTCGGACTTTAACTTTTTTTACAAGACCAAGGTTGTCCAGTGGTCGCCGTGATGAGCACTAGCTTCGCCAGCCACATATGGTGGAGCAAACGCAACAAACTCCACACACATCGAGACTGTGCCGGCTACAGCCGGCGGCGAGTTGTCGGGTGGCCATGAGCTCGACCTTGCGGGACGGCTCGTCGTCGATGGCATCGCTGACGGTCGCCATCAGTGGCCGCATTCGGAGCCACGCGGCGCGTGGTGTGGTGGCGAGCGGCGGACGGGCTCGATCGGGCGGCGGAGGCGGGAGCAGCAGCGGGGTCCGTCGCGGTCGGCGACACGGTCCGGATCATTAGTGCCTCTGCTGGGTACGGCCGCTCTCGCTAAGTGGGCGATGGGCGTGAGTGCGCGTTGTGGGCTTTTACCATGTTGCAAAGTACGGCTACTGGCGCATGCCGAGCGCGTTGAGCTTGATGAATGCGTCCTCAGCGAGCTTGGAGATGGTGCGTGCAGAGTCTGTGACCCAGTTGTTCTTGCCGTTGTAGATGAAGCAGTTGTGAAAGACGCGACGAATGTCATCGATGACCATCTCGGGCTCCGGGTAGATGCCAGAAGCCAAGTTTGTCTCGACAGTGGAGAGGTCCATGGGATGGTGGATGACTGTAAAGTAGTCGGGCACGCCATGGGCCTGCGGATCGACCGGGACCGAGAACAGATCGGCCTTGGGGTGCTTCTTCAGCTCCTGCACAATGCCCATCAGCGCATCATGCCAGCCCTGATCCTGCGGCGGCAGCGTCCACTCGGCAATCGAGTCGAGCTCCTCCTCCAGCTCGCCATACTCCTCGCGCGTCAGCTCGCGCCGGCTGCCGTGTGCCCGCAGAGAAAAAGTTAGTGCTGCTGCGGGGGGAGGGGGAGAAGGGGAGACGAGAGGAGAGAGAGAGAGAGAGAGAGAGAGAAGAGAAGAGAAGGGGAAGAAGACGTGGCGTACCTTCCGTTCAGCTCAATCTTCATGACAGCGTACGGCCGGAAGACCGGCTCGGGCTCGGTGTACTCGAGCTTGCAGACCGGGCACACGCAACCGTGGACAGGGTGGGGCGGAGTGAAGATGTCCCCGGGTGCCCACCCGTCGTCTCCAGGGTAGAGTTCGTTGGACATGTGTGTGTTTGCGTGTGTGTGTGTGTGTGTGTGTGTGTGTGTGGGGGGGTGGGGGGGGGGGCGGGGTACGGGGGTAGGGGGAAGGGGGGGTAGGGGTTGGGGGTTGGTACGAAGGGAAGGGGTAGGGGTTGGGTGGGGTCGGGGTTGGGTT